TTGTCTTCGTCACTCGAGTTCAGCGAAACTATGTATGGCGTGTGAGCCTGAACAGCCTGCTCTGTGCGTCATCGGGATTTCGAAGTTGGAGAAATCGCTCAAGAAAGTTTACAATGAGCTCAACGCCGACTATCTACACGCCAGGTTCAGTCCTAAAGCTAAAGCTTGTCCTAAAGCTTGCTTCCGTGTAAAACAAAGATCGTTTCGAAAACTAACTTTGTTTTTTGTTCGATTTTGTTTGTCAACCTTTAGTAAATTACCACTTTACCACTTTTCACTACTTGGCCCTATTTACCTTTGTCGATTTTTCATGACCACTTTACCTCTTTGCCGTAACTAGTGGTCAACTTATACCAGGCTGTCGGACAAGTCTCAGGCCATTTGCCATATTTTTTATATTTACTTTTCTTCTTTAGCGCAGTCAACAACTTACAATGATATGCCCAGCATAATCAACAGCATGTTGCCTTTCAGCAGATACCATGCAGATGGCGTTAGTCCAGAAATACTGAACTTTGGAGAAGAAAAACTCGAAGAAGACCTTTTCGAGTAGATCCGAATCATCAAACTCTCCTTTTTTAGTTTGTTCGATAGCAAAAAGAGGCTGGTGGTAGTTTGTTGCAGTCGGGTCTATCATAAAACACCGAGCGGGTCAGATCGTCCCATAAGAAGCTTGGAGGTTTCTGCTGATCCTTTTCAGGTAATTCATAGATGAGCTTTGCCGAGATAAAGCTAACTTGATCATGTTTTCCAATTATTGTGCCGGCGACCCTATCCCTTTCTTTATATTATTGTCCACCAATAGCATTGAAGTCTGCTTGCTGGGACTCTCAGCAGCCAAAACATTTGCAGCTTCACCAACTTCAACCCTTTCAGCCCTGAATTTTTTCCCGTGGAGAAATTTTTTTCTAGCTATTGTTTATTACTTGTGAGCATATAGGTATCATTATGGCGAAATTTGGAAGCTATTCGATCACAAACAAGAAACTAGGAAGCTTTGAAAATTGGCCACCTTCTTAGTTTTTAAGCTTATGTCGAAACAATTCCAAATTTCTTAGTTATGTCGAAAAATTTTATGATCTTGCACAACATTATATCAGACCTTTTTGAATAAATAAAATGATATGCCAGGTATTTTAGAAATGACTGACAGCTTGCTGAGACCAGTGCCGATTCGTTGGTACACTTGCTTTGAAATTTAGACTTCTACAGTACCTAGACTATTAGAGTAATAGACTTCCCGAAAACCTAATGTACAATAATAGAACCATTAACGACGACCATTTCACATGACTATGCCTATCCTATTTCCTTACATTTTTATTTGTAGGGCGCTAAAAATCAAAAATCATCTTTTCAGCATATATGCCAGTTTTTCAGGCTGCGTTCATGCTGGCTCTTGTGGTGTTTATATTTATGGTGGTCTGGCTGCCTTACAATGCCTACTTTCTTCTCAGCAGTTTCCTACCCCTACCCGAAAATCGGAAGGTTAGCAATTCGATATTAATTGTTTGTGAGTCATTTGTAAGAGGATTCGTTTGGCCACCTCACGATGCAATCTTTCTGTTCTTTTTATTCTTATCGTGGATGATGGGTCTCAAGCCAGTGATTTATGGCTGAAATAGAATCATTGGAAACCCGTGAAGGATTCCTTTAAGGCTACGCTTAGGCTTAGGCTTGTTACGAGGCAATCATAGGTGTGATCTCAGGTGACTTGACCTCGGTAGGAGAACTAATATACACCCCGGGTGGATCTGATCAACTCCAAAAACGAGCCTCACCGAAAATTGCAAATGCGGCCTCACGTTCAAACTGTCCAAATGGACGGTTCCCTGCTTGTATCACAGCTATAGTCGCTGGGAAGAGCTCGAACTTACCATTGTTTTCCGGATTTCTCATCAAAAGAGCTGCACTATCGTCGTTTCTATCCTATGCTCGAGGAATACGCGTTCTGCCCTACCGCACTACATGAGGGTCTAAATAAATGAAAGATTTGAAAGCGTGATGGTCCATGTGAATCCAGCGTTCTAGGGCTACCTTCACAACAGGCATTCTTGACACTCTTGAATTGACCTGCAATTTTTATTTTCAGACTGGTTTGTATATTTACATAAATATTTACTGGTTAGGGATGTCATCCACGGTTTTCAATCCAATTATCTACTATTTCATGAATAAAAGGTAGGTATCAACAATTCCTCATGTTTGATTTGATTTTTTCAATCTTGAGTTTGCTTGAAGAACAAAGCTTCAGATGAGGTTCAGCGCACAGCTGTGGTCATTCTGAATTTTCAGATTCCGAGTTGGTTTCCGTCATGCCTTCCGGTGGATTCCCTGCCTGCATGAAAATCGAGCCGAATACTTGTCAGTTCTGTCAAGCAAAGGGAGAACCTCGTATTCACTAGGACGAACTGCCCGAACGGACTTACTGTCTACCGCGTAGACCTGCTGCATTCCGTCCGTTGTTGTACCTTTATGTTGTGTGATCTGCAATAAATATTCTGTACAGAAAGCTCTTGCTCCATATATTTTCACGTTTTTAAGCGTATGAAGTTCACATTAGTCAGTCGAGCTGGAACTCATCTTCACTCACGTAGGCTAGAGCTCTTTCACACGTGCAATTATTTCAAGGTATAAGAACAAGTGACGCAAGTCAACTGTAGTTTTCTGTCAACTCCTTGATTACGGTACCTCAACCGAAACATATGGCGGCTGCATTTTTCAAATCGTTGGATTGACAATGGCTGGGACAAATCCTGAGATACGAAAGACCAGACATACATAAGGCTACATAAGGCTTTGTGCTTAACACGGAGACCGAGTGTTGAATGAGTGAGACCGAACCGAATGAGAATGAAAAAAACAAGAATGTTTAACTTTTTGCGGCCGCAGAAGACTTCATTAGATAAGAATATTGTTGATATTGAGAAAAATCTGATCGAATGAAATGGGACGAAAAACAAAAGGGAAAACCTAACACTTATTTATAAAATAGGGGTCGTAAGGTCACACACGGTTGTGGGTTGCATGGGCTTCAAGGTGTCAAAGTACTTGGTTGTTAAGTCAGCTGTGTTTTGGATAGAAACAACATTCACCAGAACAGCAATACTTTGACAGCTCAGCCTCATACTCCTCGTCTTTTTGTAGAACGAAAAATGAACGTTTGTTTCCTCGTTGCGTGGTTTTCGTAAAGCATGCCTGACCACAGTGTGTAGGAGTCTGTTATCGTTGGACTAACCTCTTGTCGATACAGTACTTAAGACGAATTTACGATGGAAAAGCAACCCATTCCAAATTGAGGTAGAGATGGTGAGTAGTACCAGAAAGAAAGCGAAACCACGAAAAACGGCCCAGAACCGGAGAAATGGGACCCCTTCCTTGTCCGTTGATTTGAGCATTGATGGGACTCTCATCGCTTTGCCCTCTTCAACCCTACGCTCTCTCAGCTATCTAATCACTCGCCACCTATTGTACTACGGCGAGTGATCAGACGATCGGTGGGCGGAGATCGCCGAACTCGCCAACTTTGAGCCATGCTAGATCTCAGAGGTCAAATCTTTCGATGCCGATTGCGTGTCTGTCCGCACCCTCAAGAGATTCACCGCTCTCCCCACTAGGCGATTTCTCCCTTCTTCGACCTTCGTTCTTTCCGTGCAATCCTCCTTAAAGCAACAGTTCAGGAACGGTTTCGCGGGAAAAACCACCAATAATGAAGTTGTAGATGAAAACCAGACGATTAATGTATGAAAAACTGGAAAAAAACGTCGGGGAGGGTCTTAGACAGGTACTCTCCCTCTGCCGCTCAGCAATGGATAAAGACGCACGTTGGACGAGTTGTCTGAACGTGCCCGCTGTGAAACGCGCTCCATTTTTCAATCAATTTTCCCTGTGGTCCCAAAACGAGCACGATTGCCGATGCGTCCAATGACGGCCGGCAAGGGGGCGGGATTGGGGAAATCCCCAAGACTCGCTCCCCGACGTTTTTTCCCAGTTTTTTCATAGCATTAAATCGTCTGGTTTTCATCTACAACTTTCATTATTGGTGGTTTTTCCCGCGACCGTTCCTGAACTGTTGCTTTAATTTCGCGCGGGTCGTCGCGGGGCTTGACGGAAGAGAAACTTGGCATCTGAGGTAACCCTCGACGCGGGACACAAAGACTCAACATGCACAGCTCCTTGACCTTATCGAAGAATGGGCTGGTCGTTGGAGCGTATGAATTTTTTTACGCGGCGTTCGAAAAGTGAGTGTGTTTTTTGCAAAATTCAGAATATATAAGTGAAATTACAATTAGATTTAGCACCATTACTCTAAGGCATCGAATTAGCGAGTTAGAGGAAGGAAGTGCTTGCTTGTTGACCAGAAGATAAGTTTGGGGGTTCATCCGACCTGTGCTGCAAAAGCATCCCGGGGCTGCTATTCCGGGTTTCATTCTGCAATTGTAGCAGGCGAGACTCATAAGGTTTGAAGATAACGTCTTTCATTTTTTAACGAGCAGTGCGACTAGTGAAAACACCTCTTCAGTACCACTCATTTTTTGAAAATTTTTTTCCTTTTTTTTCCATTGTGTTTTTCTTAAAGTTATTGTTGTGTTCCGAATTCCTTTTGAAGTTCATGGATAAATCAAATCCAAACACAAATCATTTTGCACAAAATTTTTTCTTTGAAATGCTCTCACGGTCTTTAGCGTTTTTAAAGTGATTCCTACTATCTGTTCTCGACTCCCTACGCCCGCCTTCTCCATCTGCTCGCGTTAGCAGTAGCCACAGACTTCTTAGCGACGAATGGCAGCGACCCGATACAGATGGCATCATTTAAGAAATAAACGCGAGGATGGCCTTATTGCAGCGTTCCGTGCCGTTGTTCACGCTTTTTTCTCATCCATAAACCACCTTCAGCTCGATTTGCGGTCGGCTGCTTTTCGCCGTAAACCCCGCGATGAGAAACAGAAGTTGGCAAATTGTTGAGAAATCCAATTCTTTAATCACCCTGTATAGGAAAATCAATACGATTTATCGTTCCTGGAAATAAAAGTTCAAATTCAAGGACGACAGCAACAAATGAGTCGTGCGCTGCAGGAGGCAAGGTCAACCGTATGTTGGTACAAGTACCGAAGGATAGGGGCCGTATATGGTCCACGAGGTCGGAGGGGGTCGTAACTGCGATAATCGGCAGGGGAGTCGTATAACTTCGTATGCATCGGCAAATCATATGTACACGTATGACACACCATGTGCAAGATTTGTTAGTCGCACAACCCTTTGAAAGCAACAGTTCCAGGACGAATTTACGAGGTAAAAACCGTTGATAATGTAGTTATAGCCCACAATTTGACCGACAGTAATGAAAAAACCAAAGAAAAACGCGGAATAAGGCTTTGAACAGGAACTCACCCTCTGCCCTTAGCGATGAGAGAAGACGCGTGCTGGACGAGTTGTCCGAACCTGCGCTCCAATTGCAATTGCTGGCAAATAGCCATAATAGTTGGCTATTTGCCAACTCTTGCAATTGGAGTGCAATCTCTAGCTCATTCACTAACAGTTCGATCACCCCTCAAACTACTGCAATTCGACCCTTCCATTTAGCTGGGAGCCCTTCCATTTAGCTGGGGAAGCCTTGATTCCGCTAATAACTGACTGACTTGGTAGCCATTACAACAGATTACAACATTACATAACACCACATAACATAACAACATTAGAACAACAAAAAAAGAAGCAATTCCACTGCAACCGGCAGGATCAGATTGATTACTTTAAAGGACAGAGTTCAAATACCCCGTATCCGAACAACGAGCACCAATGCTGTAGCCAATCACGGCTGGCAAGTGGGCGGTCCCGAAGAAATTTTCAACCACACCCATCTTTGAGGATTTAAACGCCCTTTTTGGGCTTTTCCCAGGTGAGTTTTCTTTATAACTTCACTTCAGATGTTTTCCAATAGGGCCTGCGTATACTTTAGTGCCATTAGTATTGAAAGAAGCAGACCCTGCTTGGGACTGTTGCTTTACTCGGGTTATTAGAGACAAAATACTATTTGAAAGTGTAGGAAAGTGTAATTTTGAGTGACTTTTATCACAATTACGAATCATCACAAAAAAAGAGTAGACTAAGGACAGTCACATTCCCATACCACCAAAGTCTCACATAAAATGCTCACATGGAACTATGAATAACCAAGCACACAAACTGAGATATGTTTTCTAAAAATACAAATTATTAATGAACACATAGTTGACGATATGGCAGATCAGTGCACTAGAGAAAAAGCAGACAGTAAAGTACAGAAATTTGTAATAATACAGTACAATGCACAAAGGATAGCAAAGAAGATAAATTAGAAAAGGGAATAGGAAAGTCAAACAAGCGAGTTCAGAATACATCATAAATGAATCATGCCAGTTCGGCATGAAAAGCTCACAAAGTATTCTTGGGAGGTTGAAGTAGTACATATTGTAAAAGATCAGAGTTCCAAACAGGTGCTTCCACCCACACACGCCCTCTGTTTAGCAACATACGCTTTCGAGATCTCTGAATCAGTCTAAGTCGGGGATACACCGGCCACGAAATCCCGCATTCACCTCGTAATTTCATCGAAATCCACTCCAAGGATTGTGTGCGCCACTCCCTCGCAACCTGTAAAAATATATCATGAATATCATGTCTCCGGAGGTTCTCAAAATAAATGGAATATTATATAAAGAGGACAATATTCCACAGGAATTCCACACCATCGTCTGAAAACTCTGAAGTAAATGGGTTGTCCAGAATATCCTTCAACACCCTGAACAAAATTCTGTCGAAGAAATCAAAGCCCCTTCAACTGTTTTGGCGCTGATTACTGTAGTATATCGTCGGAGCTGCCATACGAAGGTATAGTGCAACATTGCAGCATCATGGCTCATACTCTCTGTCTGACTCAGCTTATTTAGACCACGCATATTACGCTGTTACTTTACACGACTCCGCTTGACTGTTGGCAGGGTCACATATGTGCTCGCCATCAGCAAGAGAGGCATTCATACGGACTACAAAGTGTTCGTTAGCCCATGGCTTCGGACTGGATAAATTAAATTCAAGGATAATCTATGCCGATACTGCAAGTAAAACGCAAGCTGAAATTGTATTAGATGTTGGCATTTCAGATTTATTTTTAATTGGGTATTATTGGTAGCTGGGTTTATTGTTTGCACGCGCCCTTGTTATCCGCCTGCGAAGCTTTCGTGTGACTGCTCCCCATTGTGGCAGTCTTCAGTCTTGCAGTTCACTGCTGCTCCCGTCGACTAACCTGGTTCATACGCGCTCGCGTAATGAATGCCGGTTACCTTTGAATCTGTAGCCCTTAGTGTAAAATGGTCTCTCGTGTAAACTGTGCACTGCCGAAAGAAGCGATCCGGTACGCATCCCCGACTCGGATCACCCAGCCGCTTCTTGATACTAATTAATAGAGCGGAGATAAGGTCAATTCATCTACCTTTTACACGCGTTGCCATTACTAGCACCCTATGTGATCTACTATGTAACAATATTATTCTCACATATATCTAGAACAATTTTTCAAACAAAAAAATCAAGGCTTAGCTCAACAATAACACAGAGCGATGTGGTAAGAGGAAGACTAATGGTTCCCCACTAACCTATCATTACTCAGTGTGCCAACCGTCCATGGAAGTCCGCAGTGCGACAAGTCTGCCACGTACTCGCCTCAGCCCCTCGGCTCGACATTCGTGAACAATGAAACGTGATCGATTCCCTCAAAAACAGGAATTTGAGGATAAAGGGAACTACGAAAAAAGATAACACTTGCCTAACAAATGATCAAGAACGAAGCCGATCTCAGTACTACCTATCCATTGTCGGCTACCCAAAAACTTCTCTCTTTGTCACCGATCTCCACCAAACACTAAAAAAACGCTTGAATTTAATTCAACGAGTAGTTACTGGAAACTGTGTATCTACCAATGGGCAACACATAGTAAGCCCTCCGGATGGAATTGCTGACTCAGTGTTCGTTGAATGATGGACTCGAGGGGCCACTTCTTTCTGCTCTGGGCTTTAGTGATAGGGATCAGGATAAAGCCGTTGACTACGCTGAAGGAAGAGTTTTGATAGCACTTTTATTCGACCTTTTTGGTAATGATCGGCCGAATCAGTCTGGAATGGCGCGGAAAAGCGATCCTGAGCCAAGAATCGGATATTTTTGCCCCAGGGGGAGGGTAGGTGAGGGAGGAGCTTCATTGTGGGGAGACCACTCAAAATATGCAAAAAATGGATTAGGTATCGACGACGTAGGATATTTCACCGGTTCTTATTCCTAGCATTACTTTGATCCTTATCGTTTAAGCCGCAGAACAGAAAAAATTGACCCCTTCAAACGCCATTTTCATATCTCGAATGATAAAACAAACGTACCCGTTGTATTTCTGCGTGACTGGGCACTGGTTTATCTGTGAAGCCATTGAGGATGAACCAACTCCAAATAGACTGCAAACTGCGATAGGCGCATCCCCAACCTACAACATGAACGTGAACTTTCTCAAGTTTCAAACGCAGCGTGAGCATCGTAATGCGCCACTTGTCGAAGGATGAACAATGAAGTGCGTGAACCACTCACAGAACTCCAGACTAGGCCTTAGGCAGGGGAAGGGATTCTGAGGAAAGATGTGAGCGACCTTTGTTCTCCTTTACATTTCTCCTGCCTCTCAGACTTCCCCTTAGCGTTACCTATCGGCGGTTTCAAAATGCCATGTTTTGAATGACCCGCTGAGGACATGAGCGCCAGATGCACGGCTTGGTGTCAGAAACGTTACAGTTCGCTAAAACTGCTGCTGGAAAACTGAGAACAGGGTCCGGCTCAAATAAATAGACAGTTCTATCTAGCTCATTTTAGTCCAACTCGATGTACTCTTCAACGAATTGAAGAGAACAGGAGTTAGAGGCTGTCTGGTAATAATATACAGCAAGCTCACTGCACCTTTTCCTTTTCACTACATCTTCATTTAGATCTGTGGACGGGCGGTGCGAAAAACAAAAATTCTTAATTCGGTTCCAGATTTGCTCAGGAGACCGGGAAAAATGGTGAGGGTGTGTACCGTGTCACTAAAGAGGAAGCCCACCCACTGTGGGAGAGGGTCCTCCAGATTGGGCAGCGTTTGCTATAATAAAAAAATTCACAACTTGGTTACAAGAAATACGAAGCAGGGAAAATGGTGGAAAGGAGCAGTTGGGGAGCACAAGGCACATTTGAAATGAGCGGACGTCAAAAGACAATTGGCGGAGCATGCCCTTAGGTGTGCGGGATTGCTATAAACCTTCCTAATACGGTTGAGAGAAATATAAAAGATCGGGAAAAAAGGGAAGACTCCAGCGTAGGAATGGAATTCAAAAACAACAAGTTAGAATTAAATAGCATAGGGAAAAATGAGCACCATACCTAAGAAAACTCTTTTCAGTATCGATGTACTAATTAACAAAAACATCTGCCTCATTCCATATTGCCGTATCTAAGTATGGCACGCATCTGAAGTGCGCAGCACCCTGGTGAAACATAGCTTGCTTTATTAGCAATTTACTACACATTCTAGTGTTGTCATTCCCAACTTTCTCTGAGAAGGGCTTTTGACAGGATGGAGCTCACTGAGTGACAATGAAGCCACCGCATCAATTACAAATCTCATCAATAAGCCAGTCTTTTCACCATTTCACTTTCAGTGTAAGAATGATACACAACAAACAAACCAGCATCATCCATTCCGTCCTGCATGTAGTGGTGATAATGGTAATCTCCCTTCACTACGGAGACGACTCCTCGCGGTTTATCTAGATGAGTGAATGTATTCTCTTTAATAAAATGACAGCTCTAAAAAAAGTATGAGAGTCAACTTTGAAGCAACACCCCCAGCTGAAGTTCGTGTCGAAGAATCTATTCAGTGGGTGGGATAGAGTAGCCCACGAGTAGCACAGATGTGCCGTTGTCGCGGCTCGAAAGTGCGCGACAATGGCGCTAGGGTCTTACAAAGTGAAGCATTTGGCGACTAATCTTAGCGTTGGACGAGTTACGTCGCGCACACCCATGACACGCAACGTGGATTACGGCGTAGCGGCTAATTCAAATACGCGCGGGTTAGTTGAGCCGTGGAGCAGGCAAGTTCGTACAACTCGTCTGGCCCCGCCCCTTCCTTTTCAAGGAGATTTCTGTTTTGGGCTTCATCGACGGTTTTCTTTGCTTCTTTTTTCATTTTTAGTCAACTTCGGCATCCACAACTTCACTGTCAACCGCTGTGACCTCAGAAACCCGATCTTGAAGTGTTGCTTCAAGCAACAACTACTGTGACAACTTGAAGATTTCGTCTACGACACAAAGACATTAAGACTCACAGTTACTTATGTGGATATGAGGAGACCGTAGAAGTTTGGATGGAGCAAACGTAACTGCTTGAGCTGATCGGAGACATGGCACCACAAGAGGGAGATTAAACAATTTGTGAAGCTTGACACGGAACGAGTCTGAAATGCAATAGTACTGGAAGGAATCATCACATCTAGTATGCGCTAAAAGTTCTGACCGCTTGATAAAGCGCTGCTATACCGCAGAAAAAGATAGCAGCACGAATTCAAGTTCATGTGGAGGTGATCAGCAACCAAACACTTATATACCCTTGGATGCTGATTGATTTTGACTACAACAACGTGAAGCCAAGTAGAACCTCCCTCGCCTCGCCGATACAGCCAAAAACTACGGCCGGATGTAAAGTTCTTGATACAACCCTCCAGCGAAGCCGTGAAGAGTGGCAGACCTACGGTTTCACAATAGAGTAAAATCATTTGTTCTCTGGTTCAACCTTCACAGAAAAGCTTGTGACGAATTGAACAATGGCAATCTCCAGCGCAGAACACAGAAGCTGGTTCCCAGCTGGTTTCAGCCAAGCTGAAGCTGTGGGCCCAAGCTGAAGAAATTGCATCAAGTTCTAGTGAGTGTATGGAGACGATTACCTTTCCCCTATCCAATCACATAACATTCTTACTGATTCCCTTCATTCCTTTAGCAATATCGAGTACTTTCCAAGCGATCAATACTTTTGCAGCACCCTACATAAGTAAAAAAAGAACCGACGTTGTTCCGTATCGTCAGCGAGGGGGCACTGCACGTGAAGGAAAGATGACCATCCAGCAGGCAGAAATACCTGGGACATGGTGGCTACCACGTTTTTCTGAAAAAAAAAAGTTTCGGTTCCGTCTCCTCTCACTAACGAGCCATATTTCAAAAGAGAAAGGGAAAGAAAATAAACCTCAAACAAATCATTATCCTAAAATCTATCACATCTAGCTACTACAGTATGGGGTATAAATATGGTTAAAAAAATTGTAGTACAACCCAGGCCAGAAGATTTTGAACGGGATATCAAAGTCAAGATCTCTTAATATTGTGCTGTCCCGGAGCCTCATCAGCACCTAAATATTGTATAACACAGAGAGGCACCAAAATTTTATTTCAAAAGAATTCCAAAAGTTCAGA